CTCATTCTCCAGGAACCTCGTGGGTGTCAGTCACCTCCACGACCTCGGAGTTGTCACTACTTTCCCACTGGACGAGCTGTTGCCTCCTGCACAGTCAGTGCCACTGGGGCGCCTTTGGCCACTTGGTCCCACCACACTGGGTCAGATCAGGTCAGGTAGCTGCTGTGTCGCGTGACAGTCGGTCACTCACCCACCGGTCAGTCCTCTAGCACCACGGTCTTGGTCACCCGTCGCTCCCACGTCTTAGTAGGATGGTACGTCACCGAGTGGTCTCAAGTCTCCCGAGTCGCTTGCCCGCTTCCTCGCTCGCCTGCGCCGTAGTGCACTCCTTGCGTCGAGGATCAGCAGCGCGCTGCCCCTCACTCCTCGTTCCCCCCCACCACGGATCCCTTACAGACCCTGCACTTGGACATCTGGGGCCCCTCCCCGGTCCTTGGCCCACGTCAGGAGTGCTACTTCCTGATTGTGGTGGACGACTACTCCCACAACATCACGGCTTTCCCCCTTGCAACGCAAGGCCGACGTGCCTACCGTCCTCGAGCCATGGCTACTAGCGAGGGGTGGCGCCCAGGGTCTGTTTGGGCTCCACCTACACTCAAACCGTGGTGGTGAGCTTTTTTCCACTCGTCTGGAAACGTTCTGTCAGGGTCGAGGGATCATCCAGCCTTAGACGCTACCAGACTCGCTGCAGCAGAATGGGGTAACCGAGCGACACATCGGCCTGGTCGTGGAGGTTGCCTGGACCTCCATGAGCCATGCCGGTGCCCCCTAGTTCTTGTAGCCTCAGGCAGTCCGCTACGCCGCGTACCAATTGAACCTGTGGCCTAGTGACGCGCGGCCACGCGTGATGCTGATCTTCCTTTGGACAGGTTTTCCGGGCGTAGCAGCTGCCTACTGCGTCTGGGGTTGTCTGCGCGCACCCGTGCCTATGTCTTTCTTGGCTTCCCTCTCGACGCCTCAGGTTGGATGTTCTACGACCCATTCACCCACCAGTTCTTTGCCTCTCCGGACGTCACTTTCGACGAGTCGGTCAGTTACTACAGGAGTCATCCCCACCGAGGTTCTGAGGCATTCCCCCCCCCCCCCCCCCCCCCCCCCCCCCCCCTGTTCCTCACCAATGAGCCCCCTTAAGTCACCCCGGTAGCCTCACCCCCTTCGTGTCTTGCCCCGCTAGGTGTGTCGCACGTCACTCCGCAGTCGTCCCCCCCGCACCGTCCAGTCCATGTCGTGTCTAGGGGTGCAGGATGTGCAGTTGCAGAGGGTGAGGGTACTAGGGCTGCTTAGCCCGTGGTGCCGGCTCTAAGAATGCAGGGGGTGTGAGAGTGGAGTTCACTCCTGAGGAGGACATGGCTGTCTCGACTCAGCAGCCTCACCCCGCCTCAACCCCTGACTTCCCTTCTGTCCGGCAGTTCCCTCTTCGTTCGTTTCCACGACCGGTGGCTGCGGAGCCTGGGGGTGTTCCTGTAGAGGGCACTGGAGTCCCTGGGGGTGTTGTCAGTGGAGGTTCTGGTTCTGGGGGTGCTGGAGCCGGAGACACGAGCAATGCGACGCCTACGCCGCGCACTGTACGTTTCCTAACCCGAGTGCAACGTTTAGACTGGTTGGACAGGGAGGAGCGGGAGCGGTTTGAAAGGGCACGGCAGCAGCAGTCTCAGTTGGAGCTTCATGAGAGAGTATTGGAGTAACGGCAGCAGCACCAACAGCAGTAGTCTCAGTCGGAGCGTCGGGAGAGAGTAGAGGAGGAGTCACGGCAGCAGCAGCAGCAGTAGTAGCAGTCTCAGCTGGAGCGTCAGGAGAAAGTAGAGGAGGAGTCACAACCACAGCAAGAGAGAGTAGAGGAGGATTCACGACTGCAGCAGTAGGTGCAGTTACAGCCACAGCAGGAGAGAGTAGACCAGGAGTCTCGACCCAACAGCAGGTGCAGTTGCAGCCGCACCAGGAGAGGGTAGAACAGGAGTCTGGGCTGCAGCAGTAGATGTTGTTGCAGCCACAGCAGGAGAGAGTAGAGGGGGAGCCACAGGAGTAGCAGCGGGGGCAGGTGCCGCAGCAGCAGTCGCCAGAGGAGGCGGACCAGCAGCGACTTCGAGACCTGCCCGACCCAGCACCTGCACGCTTGGTTTGTGGTCCCCTACCGTCCCCTCTTGTTCCCCCTGTCCAGTCCCTTTCCTCGTCCCAGTGGACTCGTCGTTCTCCCCTCAGTCGTGTTGTGTCTCCAGAGCCCAGTCGGTATCGTTACCAAGTAGACGGCCCGTTCCACCTTGTTCTCTGCTCTCATGTTCCACCTCCTCCAGTCCTTCCACAGCCTTCTGAGTAGTCCCTCACTGTGCTTCACAACCCGTTGTCCGACTACCTCTGTGCCTCCCATTCTGTCATCTCCCGTATTCTGTCCGCGTTGGTCACTCACCCGACTGCACCTCTGTTGTCTGTCTCAGCACTTGTTACCACTATCGCTGGCTTTGCCTCTTCCTACCGCCTTGACTACGCAGCTCACTTGGTGAGTGAATTTGCTCATTCTCCGTCCTATGGGGTGCTCTTCTCTCCCCCCTAGAGGTCCTAGAGGACACGCAGTTTGAGCTTGGTTTCCTTGCATCCGCTGTTTTTCATCTCTGCACCATGCTGCTTGCCCCTGAGGGGGATCTAGACGCTCTTGACATCCTGATCTCTCGCACTCACGCTGAGGCGGTCTTAGGTCCTTGGGATTGTACTGGATAGCAGCTGAGAAGGCAGAGATGGCATCTTATAGGTCCATATGCACTTACGTCGACGCAGTCCCACCACTTGGGACGAACGTCATCAGTGGCCGATGGCTCTACAAGGTGAAGCGGCCGCCTGGATCACCACAAGTGTTCAAGGCGTGCTATGTGGCGAGATGCTCCAGTCAGCGAGAGGGGGTGGATTTCTTCCAGACCTTTGCTCCCACCTTGAAGATGAGTACTCTTCAGGTGTTGCTGCATATTGCAGCCCAGCGCGACTACAAGTTGCACTTCTTGGACTTTTCCACCGCATTCCTTTAGGGGAGCCTGCACGAACGGATCTGGCTGCGTCACCCGCCTGAATTCACTGGCTCTTTCCCACCTGGGACCCAGTGGCAGAGCATCGACTGGTCTACGGCACGTTTCAGGCTCCACATGAGTGGCACGACACACTCCGCTTGACCCTTGCAGCGCTTGACTTCTTTCCGTCCTCTGCCGACCTATCACCGTTCGTCCGTCGTGGCTCGACCCCGTTCTTTGTTCTTGTTTACGTTGATGACCTGGTCTTCGCCACTCCCAACCAACATGCACTGGCCTCCGTGAAGGAGGAACTGCAGAGGAGACACACTTGCACTGACCTTGGTGAGCTGCAGCACTACCTTGGCCTGCAGATCACTAAGGACAGGGCAGCTCGTACCATTACGCTGACGCAGTTGCATATGGTCGAGCAGATTCTCACATGGTTCCGCTTCCCGTTCTCCAAGGTACAGCTTACCCCTCTTGCTATGGATCATGGACTCACAGTTCCACATTCAAACAAGTCATTTGAGTCCAGTGGTCCATATCCTAAGCTGGTAGGTTATCCCATGTACCTTATGACCTATACTCGCCCAGACCTAGCTTACCCTCTTAGCAGCCTTGCGCGCTTTGTTGTGTCAGAACATTATAGCTTATACATTTGTGTAGGCTGTAGTGGGGTAGCCCATATGGGGTACAACCCAATTAGGGTTAGTACTTGTACCCAACTCTTTCATAGTTCATTCATCCATTCTCACTTCTCGTCATGGTATCGAGCAGGTTCCCGAGTGGGAATACTGCCTAGGGCCCACCACGATTTTTTTTTTTCCTTCCTTGCACGTAGCGCGCTTCGCTCCTACCATGAGTAGCGCCCCGAGTCACCTTAGTGGCCCCTTTGGCCGCCCTTACTGCTCCTCGAGCCGCCCACCGTCAGCCCCGCTACGGCCCCGTTGGCCCCGCTTTGGCCCTGCTTAGGCCCCGTCGGCCCCGCTTAGGCCTCGCTACGGCCTCGTTGCGGCCCCGCTTAGGCCCCGTCGGCCCCCACTTCGGCCCCGTCGGCCCCGCTTAGCCCACCGTCGGCCCCGCTTAGGCCCTGTCGGCCTCGCTACAGCCCCGCTTAAGCTCCGCTACGGCTCCGATTGGCCCCGCTTCGGCCCCGTCGGCCCCGTTGCGGCCCCGCTCAGGCCCCGTCGGCCCCGTTGCGGCCCTGCTTAGGCCCCGTCGGCCCCACTTCGGCCCCGTTGCAGCCCCGCTACAGCCCCGCTACGGCCCCGTTGGCCCCGCTTAGCCCACCGTTGGCCCCGCTTAGGCCCCGTCGGCCCCGCTACAGCCCCGCTTAGGCCCCGCTACGGCCCCGTCGGCCCCCACTTCGGCCCCGTTGCGGCCCCTCTACAGCCCCGCTACGGCCCTGTCGGCCCCGCTACGGCCCCACTAAGGCCCCGTCGGCCCCACTTCGGCCCCGCTACAGCCCAGCTACGGCCCCGTCGGCCCCACTTCGGCCCCACTACGGCCCCTTCGGCCCTGTTGGCTCCGCTACGGCCCCACTTTGGCCCCGTCGGCCCCTCTTAGGCCCCGTTGCGGCCCCGCTACAGCCCAGCTACTGCCCCGTCGGCCCCGTTGCGGCCCAGCTACAGCCCCGCTACGGCCCCGCTAAGGCCCCGTCGGCCCCACTTCGACTCCACTGCGGCCCCACTAAGGCCCCTGCTACAGCCCCGTCCCGTCGCCACCGCGGCCAATTCGCCCGACAACCGAGCCGCCAAGCAGCCGAGCCGCCCAGCAGCCGAGCCGCCCGACAACCGAGCCGCCAGGTGGCCAAGCCGCCCGACAGCCGAGCCGCCCAGCACCGTGCAGCCGAGCCGCCCAGCAGCCGAGCCGCCCAGCACCGTGCAGCCGAGCCGCCCTGCAGCCGAGTCGCCGAGCAGCCCGATCGCCCCACTTGCCTGGTAAGAGCCCAGTCTCTGGCACTACACTGCCCTTCCTCACTGCACTCCCTACCTGCCTACTCCTGTTATGGCTTCCCCTAGCGTTCTCACATTTAACGCTGTGGGTCGGGCTGTGCACTTTGAGGTCTGGGTAGATGATCTGCAGCTTTTTCTGCAGTGCGATAGGGCAGACGGCCTCTCCCTGTTTGACCTCACTTCTGGTGCCTCCCCTGCCCGTGCTGCTGATGTTGACGCCACTGTTCGCTCACAGTGGGCCACACGTGATGGTGCTGCTCGCCTTGCTGTTTGCCGCCACTTACCGACCACTGAGCGTGTGCACTTTAGCCAGTACAAGAGTGCTCAGACCTTGTACGACGCTGTAGTTGCACGCTACTCTACCCCTGCCACTGCTGCACTGAGCCGCCTCATGCTACCGTTCCTCTTCCCTGACCTTGCTGCCTTTCCCACTGTCGCTGACCTCATAACGCACCTCCCCACTCTTGACACTCGCTACCACGCTGCGCTTCCTGCTGAGTTCTGCGCCAAGAACCCCCCCCTCATGTACATCACCCTCTACTACATAGTCACCCGGCTCCCTGACTCTCTTCGCGTAGTCAGGGACCACTTCCTCTCTGTTTGCCCCACCACTCTCAACGTTGACCTCCTCGAGAAGGCCCTCCTAGCGATAGAGAAGAGCATATTTGCTGTAGGAGCCTCTCGTGGTGACCCTCGCACCCCCGTCTTTGAGGGGTGTTCTCCCTCCCCCCTCTTGCCCTCTGTCGCCTCTGTTGCTGCGGCCGACCTCATTGGTTTCGAATCGGCCGGGCTGCGTCTGCCCCGAGTGGGAGACACCGCACCGGCAAGGGCAAGGGGGGCAAGGGCTCTGGAGGGGGTGGAGGGGGCGGTGGAGTTGGTGGTGGAGGCGTTGGAGGGAGTGGGGGTGGTGGTGGGAGTGGTGCCGGGGGTGGTGGCGGCGGCGGCGGCAGTGGAGGCGGCGGAGGCGGTGGAGGTGGCGGAGGGAGCGGAGGCGGCGGAGGTAGTGGAGGAGGTGGAGGTGGAGGAGGCGACGGAGGCGGCGCAGGCGGCGAAGGCGGCGGCGGAGGCGGCGGCGGTGGTGGTGGTGCCAGTCGTGACTCTGCACCGAGGAGTGGCTCCGGTGGTGGTCAGCGCCAGCAGCAGCAGCGGAGTGGTGTGACCATGTCCCCTCAGCAGCTTCGTGAGTGGTACACTGCACGCCAGCAAGGTGGGGTTTTTGGTCCCTGCTCCTACCTTCTCCGTACCGGCGACCGCACTGGTGAGCAGTGCGGAGGTCCGCACTCCACCCAGCGCTGCTTTGGTCGCTTGACGGACGCGTGGCGTCGCCAGTTCCCTGAGGCGTCAGAGATCCCTCGCTAGGGAGATCTGGCCAAGGCCGGGGTTGCTATCTTTGATCTTGACTTTGATGCTATTCTTGCTGCCATGTATGCTGTTGCTGATAGTGTTGAGGGTGCCTGTTACGTGTGTGTACCGCATGACCCGGGCATTGAGGCTGCTGCTCTAGGTGCTGGTGAGACTGCTGCTCTTGGTACTAGTGCGTCTGCAGCCCCAGGTGCTGGTGAGTGTGCTCTCTCAGGTACTGCTTCGGCTCAGGCCCTCCACACCTTCACCCTGGACTCGGGTGCGTCCCGCTCCTTCTTTCGAGACCGCACCACTCTTACGCCGCTTAGTCGGCCGGTTGCAATCTCCCTGGCAGATCCCTCTGGGGGTCTTGTCCTTGCTAGCTTCTCCACTGTCCTTCTGTGCCGTGCAGCCCCCTCTGGCACCCTGTCTGGTCTGTACCTCCCCTCGTTCTCTACGAACTTGGTGAGTGGAGTGGACCTACAGGATCGAGGGGTTGACCAATTCACTCCTGCGAGTCAGCGAGTGACCCACTGCACGTGTGCTAGGACAGGTCGACACCTGGCCACGTTCACCCGTCGGCCAGGGTTGAGCCTGTACACCCTTACTCCTGCTGTTGAGTCTGCCCAGGTAGCTGCATCGAGTCAGGTGTTTACTGCGGCGTCCAGGTCTGGTCCTGAGTCTGCCCCCTGCTCGTGTCGTCTGCTGTCCCACCAGACTCTCCTTTGGCACCACCGCCTTGGTCACCCTTCCTTGCCTCGTCTCCGAGGCATGGCCTTGTTATGTGATGCTATCATTTGCATTCACGTCTGTCTACCTCCCATCACATGTTCGTGCGTTGCATGCGTGGTGTGAGCGTGTGCGAGAATTTGTGTTTTGTGCGGTTTGGATTTTCTGAGTGTGTGTGAATGTTATTTGGCTTGAGAAGATATCTGAAGTGACTCCACTGCTCAAGAGCTTTCCAACGAACCAAGAATCACTTCAATCGGAGCACGAACAAGAAAGTTACGAACGTTGGAGTTCGTATGCTTTTGATATTTGGTTGTGGTGACTATGGGAGTTGTGGGGTTGACTCAATATGGGGTACAGACTTTTGGGGGTTGGGAAATTCGTCACTACTACTATAGTTGCTGCCAATTGGTTGGGAGAAACCAAACCAGGTTGGCAAGTGTGGCCAAGTTGGGTTAAGGTGGATGGCATGGGTTGGGAAAGTGACAAAAGTGAAAGTGGGGTTGCCTATGGAGAAGGGAATTGTGTGGCATGGGGTTTCCTTGGTTGGGAACTCTCTTGGGACCTTCCCTCTCGTCCTCCTCATCCCATCCTACCTGGTTTAGTGCTACTCTAACTCTCTTGTGTGTAACTCTTGAGAACTTGTGAAACTATTGTGAGTGAATTAAGTTTCTATGTGGCAGCATACCCCCTGGTGCGCCGAGAAGCATAACTCAAGATTTACTCCACCTTTCGATACGATTCAAATTGGGAATGATAGCCACAGACAAGAGCTATAACATACTCGAGTTTGATACGATTTTAACGGTGCACTTTTCGTCGACAACGTTTCTTGTGAAGTCGCGGTTTCTGTCCAGAATTTCAAGCCAACGATTTTGAGAATTTTAGGCACCTAATCTTCGTAGATTCCGTCCTTAGTCTCTAACAGGCCTCCCATGTCCTTGTCTCTAGTCTTCCTCGGTCTATCCCTCCCCTTCCTCCGGGGCCTGGCCCTACCTGCGTCCCCTGTGTCGAGGGGCGACAGCGCGCCGCCCCTCACTCCTCCGAGTTTCCTCCAACAGAGGCTCCGCTGCAGACTCTCCACATGGACGTGTGGGGCCAAGCCCGCGTCAGTGGGCAGGGACGAGAGCGGTACTTTCTGCTGTTGGTTGACGACTACTCGCGTTAAAACACAGTCTTCCCCTTGCGCATCAAGGGTGACGTCACTTAGGTGTTGATCGACTGGATCCGCGCAGCTCGTCTCCAGCTAAGGGAGAGTTTCGGCTCGGACTTTCCTGTTCTCCGTCTGCACTCCAACAGAGGCGGGGAGTTTTCCTCTTCTCGTCTGAAGCCTTCTATCGTGCATAGGGCATCCGCTAGACCTTCACGCTTCCAGCCTCTCCACAGCAAAATGGGATTGTTGAGTGCCGCATTGGCATGGTCATGGACGTCGCTCGTACGTCCATGATGCATGCCGCTGCCCCCCATTTTCTGTGGCCGTTTGCGGTTCAGAACGCCGCGCATCAGATCAACCTGCAGCCCCGGGTCTCCTTGCCAGAGACCTCCCACGCCTTGCGTTGGACCGGGAAGGTTGGCGATGCGTCTGCGTTTCGGATCTCAGGATCTCGGGCGTTTGTCCGCGACTCGTCTGCGGACAAGCTGTCCCCCCGTGCTGTTCCCTGCGTCTTCCTTGGCTTCCCCCCGACGCGCCTGGCTGGCGGTTTTACCACCCCACCTCTCGCCGTGTTCTGTCCTCCCAGGACGTAACCTTTGACGAGTCGGTGCCTTACTACCTTCTCTTCCCCTACCGCACTGCGCCCCTCCCCTCGCCGCCGCTCTTCCTTGCGCCAGGTCCTCCCCCGGTAGACCCCCTCCCCCCTAAGGGTCTTGCCCCATCAGGTGTGTCCCAGGTAGACGCAGTCGAGCCTATCGAGGCAGCAGTTGACTGTGGTGCTGCTAGAGGTGCTGAGCCTGCGAGTGGCGGGTCTGCGGGTGCTGGATCTGGGGGTGCTGAGACTGGGGGTGCTGAGACTGGGGGTGCTGAGACTGGGGGTGCTGAGACTGGGGGTGCTGAGACTGGGGGTACTGAGACCGGGGGTGCTGAGCCGGGGGGTGCTGAGCTTGGGGGTGCTGAGCCTCGGGGTGCTGGGTTTGTTCGTGTGGCCGCCGGCGGTGCTTCGTAGAGGCGGGAGCCGCTCTCTCCACAGGAGCTGCGCGAGTGGTTCACCCGCTGCTGGAGACGTGCTGCTGAGACTATGGGTGCTGCTGGAGCTACTGGAGTTGGTCCTACTAGAGCTGCTGTTGGTGCTAGTGCTGCTGGATGTGGAGCTGCTGGGGGTGTTGGCGCTGGTCTTTCTACTGGTGCTGGTGCGTCTGGGGGTGCTGCTGAGGGAGCTGGTGCTGACGTTTCTACTGGAGTTGGAGCAGCTTGGGGTGTTGGCGCTGGCGGTGCTCCTAGCGCTGGTGCTTCTAAGGGTCCTGGAGTTGGCTCTGTTGGAGCTGGAGGTTCTGCTAGAGCTAGTGCTGCCACTGGGGATCCTAGTGCCGTCCTTGCTGGTTCTGGAGGCACTGCGCGCCCGAGGCCGTACTTCGTTCCCCTCCTGGAGCAAGTTCTTAGTCTCCCTCCCTCTACTGGTCCTGCTCCTCCCTTAGAGTGTCCACAGGCTGTCCAGTCGTAGTCCCAGTTACAGCCCGCTTCCCCGCTACCTGCTCCTGCTCCCTACACTTGTCCTACTGAAGGTCTTGCTGAGCGTTGCGAGCCTGCGTCTCGCCCTGCGTCGCCTGTTCGTGCTGCTCGCACTAGTGATCGTACTGCGCGTCCTCCTGTAGACCCCGGCACACACCAGATGGCACTGCGTCCGTCCACTGCTCCTCTGCGTGTCCCTTTGCCGTCTCCTTCGGAGTCCTCTCTTCCTTCGCTTACTGACCCGGAGTCCGACTCCCTTCGTGTTGCTAGTCCTTCGTTCACGCGCCTTCTTGCTACTGTTGTCACTGACCCTACCTTTGAGTCCACTGCTGCGTCTGCTCTAGTTGCTGAGCTTGTCGACTTCGCTGCTCGCTGCCGTCTAGACTACGCTGCGAGTCTTGCTGCTGAGTCTGAGTTTGTCTGTCCTCCGTTCGTTAGGGGTGAGTGTGCTCTTAGCACGGACGTCCTTGAGGACAGACAGGAGGAGTTCCAGTGCTTTGCGGCTGCATTGCCCCATCTCGTGTCCTCGCTGATTGCCCTTGAGGGAGACCCGGATGCACCAGACATCCCGACTCCTCGATCGTACGCTGAGGCGATCGAGGGTCCCTCTCCTCTCAGTGGCAGTCGGCCATGGACGCAGAGATGGCTTCCTGGAAGTCCAGAGGCACCTATGTCGACGAGGTTCCCCCACCTGGGGCGAACATCGTCAGTGGGATGTGGATCTTCAGGGTGAAGCGGCCGCTTGGCTCTCCGCGTGTCTTCAAGGTGCGCTACGTGGCTCGAGGCTTCAGTCAGCGGCAGGGAGTTGACTACTTTCAGACCACTCTTCGGGTGCTGCTGCACATAGCCGCTCAACTCAACTACGAGCTTCACTCTCTTGACTTCAGTACAGCCTTCGTGCAGGGCAGCCTGCACGAGGAGATCTGGCTGCGCCGCCCTCCTGGCTTCACTGGGTCGTTTCCTCCTGGTACCCAGTGGAGCCTCCGGCGGCGAGTCTACGGTCTCCGTCAGGCGCCCCGTGAGTGGCACGACACACTGAGGACTACGCTTGCGGCTCTTGGGTTTGCTCCTTCTACAGCCAACCCGTCGCCATTTCTACGCACCGACACCTCCTTGCCGCCGTTCTACATCCTCGTGTACGTCGACGACTTGATCTTTGCCACTGTTGACACTGGTGGACACGCCCACGTGAAGTCCGAGCTGCAGAAGAGACACACGTGCACAAACCTGGGTGAACTGCGCAGCTACGTTGGCTTGCAGATCACCCGGGACAGAGCACAGCGCACCATTACCCTGACCCATTCACACATGGTGCAGCAGGTCCTTCAGCGCTTCGGCTTCACGTACTCCTTGCCTCAGACCACTCATCTGTTTACTCGCCACTCGCTCTCAGCTCTGCCTTCGGATGAGTCCTTAGAGTCGAGTGGCCCGTACCCAGAGCTTGTTGGCTGCCTCATGTACCTATTGACCTGCACACGACCTGACCTTGCAGACCCTCTTAGCATCTTGGCACGCTATGTTGCTCCTGGGAGACACCGACCAGAGCACATGGCTGCAGCGAAGAGGGTGTTGCGCTACGTGTGCAGTACGTCGGGCATGGGGCTAGTGCTTGGAGGGCGACGTCGAGTAGTCCTCACAGGTCACGGTGACGCTTTTTGGGCTAACGACCAGGCTACGCAGCGGTCGTCACAGGGTTACACCTTCAGCCTTGGCTCCGGTTCTGTTTCGTGGTGGTCTACCCGCTCGTCCTCTGTTCTCGGCTCCAGCTGTGAGGCTGAGATCTAAGCAGGGGTCATGGCTGCATAGGAGCTACGTTGGGACACCTACCTTCTGACTGACCTAGGAGAGCAGCCTTGTTCTCCTCCAGTTCTGTACGTAGACAACAAGGCCATGCTGGCCTTGTGTCGGGAGCACAGACTGGAGCACCGAACGAAGCAAATTGCTCTCCGCTACTTCTTGTTTCGTGAGCTGCAGCAGCGCGGTCAGCTCTGCCTCACCTACATGGCCTCTGAGGCCAACATTGCTGATATCTTCACCAAGGCCCTTCCGCCTTGTGATCATCAGCGTTTCTGTACTGTGCTAGGTCTTGTGCCTACATGGCCTCACTTACTCACTTGTTGATCTTGTTTGTACTATATTCTTCCTATACCTGCCCTTGCTTGTTTTATCTTTATATATATGTTCTTGCATGTGAACTG